TCCGTTTTTTTCCAGTTTTAATCCTTTTTTGCACCCAGGCTTTGCCTTTTTATTTGGGTCCGTTAACTATTGTGCACGTGTTATAATTCCACTCTGTTTCCTACTATATCGGTCTTGCAATGCACTGAGGCTGTTTTTCCTGGTGGCTTGGATTCTGCAGTTATCGCACTTTGTGGCAGTCCAGGCCTCAATATATCAGTAACTGACTATTCCGGCGGTATGCAATGCGATGTCTGCAACCGATGATCCCACCAGCTTTTACGGACCTAAATACCGGGCAGTACGCAGCGCTGGCCTCCAGCGAAATGTTGCTTTTCAGTTGTACCAATTGCTGCAGCCGCCGGCAAGGCAGCGCGGCCTTTCGTACGGGAGACGAATGTCTTGATGCCCGGCTGCAAAATGTGGAGCGTCCGTTCTCGATGCTCTCAGACCTTCCCTTTAAGCTTGAGCTGTTCATGACGACGCTTCCCGTCTCCAACAACGCAGGTTTGATCGCTTGCACTGGAGACCCACTTGTGGCACCAATCATTATGTCACCCCTCCAGATGGCTACCGACCACAAAAATGAAGCTGCTTCGCACGTCCTATATAAAGCTACTTTGATCGACGCTGAATTTCTGATTCAAGGGTCCCTTCAAGTAAAGCGAAAGAGAACCAAGAAACCCCGTAAACGCTATGCTAAACAAGAAGTTATAGTTGTCTCGTCACCGGAAACAAGCCGTGTCGTTACTTGTCAGACCGTCTGACGGTTGTGCGAAGTCGAAGATTCGGACATATATTACTTGTCAGCCAAAGCTGCCGGCTATCTCGGTTCTCACCAAGCAGGCATGTTTTGAAGGTCTGTTTGACTCTGCTCATAGCAAAATATCGTCACGGGACCCTGCTCCCGTTATCAAGAAGAAAAAGCAGACCAAATCTGCCATAAAGCCCTTTCGGTGGAATTGATGAACCGAAAAAGTAAGACGACAATGGAGCGAAAAACACGCTGCCGTTGCTACATCATCGGAGGGTCTAAAGTCAGTCCCATCGCCAGTGATGAAGCCACCTGCTCCAAGTATCAAATCAAAGACCAGTGGGGTTAATACATCCCGTCGTGGCAATACTTTCAAGGATAGTAGCGGTACATTCCGTAACGCAGCTGAAGCTACGACTGTCCCTCCTGCTGATCGCATGTTGGACGACTTCTTTTGGTTTAAAATGTGCGTAACGAAACTTCTTCCGCCTGGTTTTCCAGGCCTTACTGTCAGGAAGCTGATTAGACTGGGGAACGTTCCTGTTAATGTACAAAACCCTCGACCGCGGCCACTTCGTGTGGTCGTCTCTACGCCGGAGGAACGCAACGCTCTCATGTGGTTTTCGCTTAAGCTGCAAGATACAAATATTAGAGTTCTGCCGGACCTTCCGCTGGCCGATAGCCTGAGGCTAAGGGAGGCCATCAAGTGCCTAAAATGCAGGCGAGCGGCCGGTGAACAAGGTCTGTGGTTAGTGGGTTTTCGGGTGATCAGCCTGCGGTCCTTTTCCGCCCTATCACTGTCAGTTCTGACAGCGCACGACCCAGGAACGTGTGCAGCCTAAGGTGTAAGGTGTAGAGTTAAGTCTGTTTGTAGATGGGTCTCATCCTGATATACTCGCATTCACTGAAACTTGGCTGTCTCAGGACATCACGGATGGTGAAGTACATCTATCTGGTTACGCACTATTTAGTTGCGATTGCTCCGCTGCCTGACAGGGATGGGGCGTCGCTCTTTATGTGAGCTGTAAACTTGACATTCCGAATACTTGATTATTTCAGTCGGAAGACAAAACGGTTGAAGCTCTGTCGGCTGTGCTTAGCATATCCTCGGCTCAGGTTACAGTTGTAATTGTGTATAGAAGTCCAAAGAGCGTATCTAAAGAGGTAATTAAATTCATTCGCTCCCAGTCCGCAAACGATAGTTGATGACGGGCGACTTAAAGCTCTCAGAGGTTTGCTAAGCAGGTCTTTCTTGCGACTTAGCGTCAGGCACATTCGGTGCTGATCTGCTTGAGCTTACGCTCTAACTACAGTTGCATCAGTTCCTTGACCTCCTCACCAGGTACATGGACGCCCAAGTACCGTCTATCTTGGACGTTGTATTTGCTAAGCCACAAGATTTTGTTGGTGACATTACTTACGGACCTCCACTGGGTTCCAGTGATCATGTTTGTTTGCTCTTCAGTTGTCTAGAGGCTACCAGAGTACTGCTGAGTCTCGCCCGAACATATGGTACGCAGACTATCAATCAATGAGAACCGGGCTTCGGGTTTCCATTGTGCAATCTCAACGACGATACTGTCCAGGTTGCCTGGGATAAATTTAAGTCCTACCTTGCAGAGGTCTCTGCTCTCTTCATCCCAGAAACAAGGAGACAGGAGGCAAGAGCCCAGCCGCGCTGGATAGATCCCACTGGCAGGCATCTGCACACGAAGAGGTCTAATGAAAATAATAATGTGTCAGCTGTACGCCGTAATGGCGCTTCGCTGCCGCGCAACCACCAGCAGTCACGCACGGGCTGAGTATACCGCGAGGACGCCCACCCCTACGAGGATTCGAACCGGTGACCTTATGGTCTAGATGTTGGCGGACTTACCGAGATGCTCCGTCCACCTGTACTTAGGTACCGTAAGGCTAGAAATAGGTCTAAGCAACACCTAAAGGATGCTCGGCTCAATTTCGAGAAAGGGTTAACGGACGAAGCTGCGGAGAATCGTAAAAGATTCTTCGCTTGTGTCAAAAGGCGCTGCGCTTCGAACATGTCAATTCCAGTATTGATGCATGATGACGGTACTCATGCGCATACGGACCATGACAAGGCCTGCGTACTTAGTGGGCGGTATGCGGCAGCGTTTATAATGTAGGCCTCTTTGACAGGCGTTGAGCTGGGCTGCAGAATCCCAGAGAGTTCAGGACCATCTGAATTTATTGTAGCAGAGACGGAAGTTCGTAGGCTGCTACATGGGCTGAACCCTTCTAAAGCCTTTGGGCCTGATTTAATTCACCCGAAACTGTTGCATGAGTTGGCTGCGGAACTAAGTGGACCGCTCGCTAAGGTGTTTCCGAAATCACTTGACAGCTGTGCATTGCCCTCCGAATGGAAGGAAGCTGTCATCTGTCCCATCTTCAAAACTGGGGACAGCAGTCTGCCTGCAAATTACAGGCCAGTTAGCCTCACGAGTGTAGTATTCAAACTCCTCGGGAAACTGATTAGAGATTCATTGAAAAGTCATCTGAGTGGAATTAATCTACTTAGCGATGTACAACACGGATTCCGGAAGGATTTTCGTGTCTGATGAATCTACTGGTAGCTCGCGAAACTTTGGCGGATGCAGTAGATAATAGCCGCGCGCTGGATGTACTTTTCGTCGACTTTTCGAAGGCATTTGACAAGGTACCCCATTTGAGGCTCGCGCAAAAGCTGACCTCCTACGCGGTATCTGGCCGCGCCCTTCATTGGGTGACTGCGTTCTTGGGGGGTAGAGAACAGTGGGTACGGGTAGGCCGGGGCCTATCGTTTAGGCAGTCTGTTCTCAGTGGCGTGCCGCAGGGCTCGATCCTTGGATCTCTACTCTTCTCTACGTGAATGACCTACCCCCGGAGCTTGAGGTACCATCGCTGCTATTTGCTGATGACCTGTAGCTGTGGAACGTTGTCGATGTTCCTGCGGGTTTCGAAGCCATTCAGCGAGCATTAGATAAGCCTTGGGACTGGTCTACTTTGTGGTTACTGCCCATAAATCAAGCAAAGTGCTCCGTTCTTCGAATTGGAGGAGGTTGTCCTCCTACGAAGTATTTGGTCGGTGGAGTCGAACTCCTCCGCGTATCTGGCCAGATTGACCTAGGCGTCATACACTCTTCGGCTTTACACTCCGGGCGACAACTGTAAGAAGGCCGCAAGCAGGGGTTTCCGCATGTTGTGGTTAATACGATGTGCTTTCGGGGTCTTGACTAGCGGCACCTTTACGAGACTGATCTCGGATTTTGTTCGGCCTCATCTGGAATACTGCGTCCAGGCTCGTCCGCCCTGCCTCGTCAGGGACAAAATGGAGCTAGAGAGGGTTTTACGAGTGGGTACTAGGTTAGTCGAGGGATTACGGGGACGGACGTACCCCCGAATGCATTCAGTGCACTACCGAAGGCTTAGAGGAGATCTAATCTTAACCTACCGTATCTTAACTGGGAAGGTCGGCCCAAATTTATCTGAGTTATTCAGTCCGGCTAGATTGTCTGTTCTACGCGGTCACTCCTTGAAGCTGGACAAACCGCGCTCCGATGGGATTAGGGCGGAAATCCGGCTGTCACGCGCTGGAACATGCTCCCGGAAAGTGTTATCAGGGAATTTACGGTTAAGGGGTTTGAGCGGCAACTTGACGCACTTGGGTGGTAACACGAAACCTTACCATTTTCATGAGTAGCTCGCATCTTCGTACTTAGATGCTCGTTTCTTTACTTCTCTCCACACATTGGTATTATTTTCTTATTTACAGTGCACTTCCTTACTCTGTACCTTCGAGTTCTCTTCCTATCCTTTGCTTACTTCACGTGACTGCCACAGCATGGACTGCTAGGGCATTAAACGTGGGCATTAACTGGTTGGCCAGCATGCGATACGGGTGTTCCGTTTTAAATCCTGTTTGATCTTCCCCTTTTCGCTATTCCGAATTAACCACCCAGGAATTTCTCCGCAGCAATTCTAGCCCAGCCGAAGAAAAATCAAAATTCCAACAGCCTTGACCACGAAAAACGTGTTAACAAAAACTCTGCCAACGTAGCCAGAAAATGCCGCCGAAAACACTGTCCTCTCAACTCTGAGGCAAAAGTCCAATTAGCCGGGTGTTTTAAAAACGCATTCGTCCGCTCGATCGATTGCCTGATCGACCGCACGGGGTAGGCGATTCTCTTCAGCCCAGCTTTCAGTCACCATTATATACTTTCCCTTTTTCTTTTATGTTTTTATCTGATTCCCGGATACCTCCCCTCTTGAAGCTGTTGCCGTTGTGTATGAAGCTAGCCGGGGATTAACCTGAAGCCTCCTGGAAGGGATTCTTCGCCTACCGGTGCATCGCCTTGGCTGTAGTGTTCTGGATTCGAATTCCGTACTCTGCGGTCTGGTATTATTCGTCTGATGACAGGGTTCTTCTACTGGCTCTGTAGGCAAGTTGAAGCTGTCTGTCAACAGGTCAAATGGAAGCTTGGCGGATTCTATTGCTTGTGGCTGGCACATTGTTGTTCGCAGTTGGTTTGCATGGCGTACCCATACCTGCGTTCCAACCAGCACGTCGTAAATGACGCTTCCGCGCTTGCACTGGATCGTGCCTGGCGTCCATTTCGCGTGTCCACCCCGATAATCACGCACAAGTACTGGCTGACCCGGTCTAAACGAACGTTGCTTGGCACCAAACCGCCGATTAAAATCACGTTCCATCTTTAGGTTCCTTTCACCAGCTATGAACTCTGAGGATGGCCGAACTGCATCATATGGCATGCGAAGTTTTCTCTTCATCATTGCCTCTGCTGGTGATATTCCACCCGGCGTTTGTGGATTTTGTGTAGATCGGTACAGAAATAGGAAGCGGTCGATCACCTCCTCTAGGTCTCCCTCCCTCCTTGATTTGAGGAGAGCGCGTTTGAATGTATCCACAAACCTCTCTGCTTGGCCATTCGATTGTGGGTGGAATGGTGGAGACCGCAAGTGTTTGATGGCGCAGCGTTGGCAGAATTCCATGAATGTGGCCGAAGTAAACTGTGCTCCATTGTCCGTCACCAATGTTTCAGGGCAGCCGAACCTGCTGAAGATTTGTCGCAACCTAGAGACGGTTGCGCTGGTTTTCGTGCTTCTCATGAGGAACACTTCGGGCCACTTGCTATAGGCGTCGACCACCATGAGAAAGTTCTGGCCATTGATTGGGCCTGCAAAGTCTACATGAACACGACTCCAAGGTTTAGTTGGTTTAGGCCATGAGCGGAGTTCACTCTTTGGCGGTGCCCTTGAGGCGGTAGCGCAGTTGCCACAACTTTTAGCTAGCTGCTCTAGCTGCCTGTCCATAAACGGCCAATATACATAACTTCTGGCAAGCGCTTTCATTCGGTTTAGCCCTGGATGTCCTGCATGGAACTGTCGCAGCACTCTTTGTTGCAACGCCCGCGGGATGACTACTCTGTCTGAGAACATGATGCAATCGTCCAAAGTAAATAAATAAATAAATAAATAGGTATATTTCTAGACCTGCTGG